AAAAAAAAAAAATCAGCAAGGATTATACTTATTAAGGACTGTCAACGCACCAAGAGTGAAACTCTGAATATTCAACTGTTTAAGCAAGATTTTCTCTTCACACTAAAACACATCCCCCTACAATGTCTTGAGAATTTCTTTAAAACAGAACACCTTTTAAAAGCTTAGCCAAATTAGTTGCCCCCATAGGTGCTATAACAAACATTAGAAAAATAACCCGAGATGGCAGAAATCTCAAAATTATGAATATTTTATTGTACTCACCATGATCCTAATTTTTGTTTTAAAAATAAGAAAACTTTTGTACTTGCAAGCTTTCCTGTGTCATATATAGAAACTGGTTTGCTTTTGTAGAGTGATTGCTTTTATTAAAATAAAACCATGCCATTAAATTTAGCAAATGCATAACAAAAGGACAGGTCCAATACTGGGTTTACAGATACTGAACATTGTGCTTTTATCATTAGGTGCTTCTCACTAGAATGTGTCAATAACATATAATCGGTGCTTCAAGGACTCTATTACATAAATATATTTCCACCATGACACCCAATTTTGCTTGATTTTCTCTCTCTTTTTTTTTTTAAATGCGAGCTGGTAGGAAAAAAAATGGTATCCTGGATAACACTGTCCTAATTCTGTCTGCATTCATCACTACAATTCAGCATGTGTCCTGCAAAGTAATTCTTCAGGTAGCTTTACAAAAAAACCCAGAACCAGTACTCAACCAGAGAACTTGCCATCTGTTTACTAGAACTGACAACAGGTTGAGGAGGGAGGAATGGACAAGGGTGATACGATTCCCTGAGAACACAGTAATTAATGCAAAGCATAAACAGATAGATGAATGGAAGGCAAGCCAAGATAGATAAGAGACTGCTCCATTGGAAAAGGAGGGTCCAGATGGACTATGGGTAGCATGAAAATAGATGTGGAGTCCAGAAGGATTAAGCAAAAAGCATGGGAATGAGGAAGGGGGATTACAAAAAGATAAAGGCTGAGTTATAGGCATTGGCAAGAGCGATCTAGAATCTTGAAACTAAAGATTTTAAGCTTGATGCAGAAAGAGACCAATAAAGGGATCTGGAAAAGAGCTGGCTGGAGTGGGGGTCAACAAATCATTTAAAAATACTAAGTCTGCCCAAAGGCAATAGTTGAAAATGCAAAAGCTGCTGCATTTTTCACACTTCAGATTATTTTTCCATTAAGGGTTTTAGGAATGGATCATACACAAGTCCCAAAAAAAACCTTTTAAAATCCTTTAGTAGTTTACCTTTTGTTATTAATACAGAGATTAGAATGATTACATATGAATCAAATACAATAAAAAAACAAACACATTGCCATTTCTCTTTAAGGGTATTAAGACATTATGGAAAAGCCACAACTTCAGTCTTTGACCTCAGTACCTGGTTGTGCAGTTTAAAATCCATTGTCTCTTTGGCTGGGATTCAAGTTGCCAAAGTCAAATTAATCCCCAGCAGCACAAAAGACAAATATCTACCAAGAAAAAAACCAAACTAGATTTGAACATTATCTGAAGAGTATAGTTGGGGAGGAAAAGAAAGGAGAGAATTGGTAATAAGAAAGGAAGTCAGAGCTGGTGTTACAGGCCAAACCATATCTCACTTCCAGGATCAAAATAGTAAGAACTTAACTCTTAACCATCTCAGCAAGAACAGAGCAACCCAGAAAGAATTATATTTGTGGGATACCATTACAAAATATTTTCTTCCTTTATGCTGGTACTGTCAGATTAAATGGATTTGGAGCAATGTGGAAACGAACTCTTGAAGAGGGCTAGGTCACAAATCACTTTTTTTTAAATAGACAGGTTTATAGGTACTGACCTGTCTGGGACTATGGAAGCCATATCTTATTTAAAATGTTTTTCCACAGAGATTCTATAGTGCCAGAGAATTGTATTTATGAAAGGGGAAAAACAGGATTTAAATTGAAATTTTGCTTAAAAAGAATGGCAAAGCAATGAGGGCACAGTACTACTACGCTACTGGTTTTAGCTGTAGTCTGAACCAGGTTTTGTTACAGGCACAGAACAATGAATGCATACCCTGGTATAATTTACATCTGTTTTTTATACTGATGTATACCAGGATCCGGAATGGATGGATATGCAACTATCCAAGGGTAGATGTACATAGCAAGGTGTGATAACACTCTCTACTTAAGCAAACAGCTACTTCAGTATGGATGCAGACAGGAAGCACCTAAAGCAGATGTAATTTACACCAGTGAAGTTTTATTCCAACTTTTTCAAGAGTAATTTTCCATTGATTTAGGTGAGGTTAGCCTGATTTAGGAGTTTGTGTCAATTGTCCACTACTCTTTCGTTCTGGTTACATTAAAGTGTTGCCTTGTCACTCCAGATAAGCAGCTGAATGGTGTTCTGACCAAACACCAACTTGGGTAGTTATATTCTGCTAATTCAATCCTCCCTTACTGTGTACAATATTTTACACTGTCCTTCTTGAGCAGAATGGCTGATGCATCCCCACACACAAAGTGTCTTTGTGCTAAATAAGAGGAAAGTTTTTAAGACTTTTCTCTGAGAACTGCAGGGTGCCAAGTGGTAAAACTTCATCCTGGCTCATCAGTCAACAGTACGGTTATCAAACTAAAACAAGTCAGGACTGACTGTTATTTCAGTGGGAGACCTCCAAAGAGAGCTAAGCATTCTACAGAACATAACACTGGTGATTCATAAGGTGACAGTCCTCTATAGCAGTTCTGAACACAACTCTGTATGCATTTATTTTCCCACCGGCGGGGCTGTGAAACAAAGATTCTGATCATTTGCTACAGAAACCTTGTGAAACTTCTAGATGAAATACAGAGCAAATCCCAGTATGTTCAAACTCCACAAGCAATATTACTGGACAAATTACATAAATCATATTAATCAGAGGCAGTATTCTACTCCTGTTTTGTACATTACTATTAGCTGTGACCTGTCAAACAGCCGTTTATATTATACTCAAGCGGTGTCTGAAGTATAAACTTTAGACAATTTATTCCTGTAAGTAAGCTTAAATACACTTTGGAATCCTGAAAGAAGGAAATGTGTTATAAATAAAATAATATTATTCTGAAGGAAACCCAAATGCTATTTAAAAATATGACAGGTTCAGCCCAGAGGGCTTCCTTGGGGAAAGGAAACAGATATTCACAGGAAGTAAACTGAAGTCCTGCCTCCAGGCTAGACTGCTTCTTCTTTTCATCGTGAATCCCAATACAGTTTAACATCCTTCATCCCTTTTCTCACCATTCTATCTTAGTTCTTCATAATCAATGCAAGCCTGTTAGGTTCTGAGTGCTTGGATACCACTTCCAGAATCTGTTATGTCCAGAAAAAAGTCATTATTTTTCAGTGTCCCAAAGCAAAAGGGGGTGGGGAGAAACTTACCAAAACCAATTTTGTTATTTCAGTAGCCTAATGAACAAAACTGTTAAAGTCACTCCCTTGTGGGGAAGGGGAGGATGACAAGTGAGGGGCAGAACCACCTGGAACGCAGCAAAAATGGTCACTTCACTGCTGCTCACATTATGCTGTGATTGCATTTTAGCCAGTGAGGTAGCTGATCACTCTATTGCTGACCCCTCTGAAACAAGAGAATTGTCAGCAGGATCTCAGTGGAACCTAGTAGTTAATAAGCACCCCTAAGGCGGGTCCTGTGTGCACATTATGAAAGGTTTGGCAACTCCACTGAAATTTGTGGCTCTAGTTGCATAAGAGTTCAGCCAAAGGGGACAAAAAGCCAGAATTACAGGCCAGCACACATCTGACATTCTGGATGTGATGAGTATCCAAAGAGTATGGTCACTGGAATATGGCCTTTCAAGTTGCTTACTCCCCTGTGAGCTTTCTGACATGTACTCCATATGGCCTCTTGGATGAAACACAATGCCATGCTTCTGCCACAGGGTTATGCAGGAGCATGACAAGGGAAGGATTAAAGAAGACTATTAAAGATTGCAGGGGTGGGAAAAGTGAAAATTAAAGCTGTAAAATGTACAAAATTTAAACATTCCCAAAAGGTTTAAAACCTGAAAGACAAAAGGAGGAAGAGCCATATGGGTGAAAAGGTATAAGGAGCAGAAATCGGAGGAGAATGGTGACAAGCTTCAGAGGCACATAGCCAGATGCTGTTACTTTCCCTGGTAGCTGCTCAGTTCCATCTCATCCTTCCGACGTCGCTGAGTGAAGAGGGAGCTGAAGGGGTAGAGCTTGGCTTTAGCCTGGAAGCGTTGTCCAGCAATATCAATCTCATATTCTCCACGATTGATAAAGTCAGGTGTTACCACTAGCCCTTCCCCAGTCTTCTCATCAAAGTGCTGAACAAAGCCCAGGCAGACATGACGTTCAAGAGTGTAACTGTAGGCACTGCTGGTAGTCTTACCGACGTAGCAACCACTGCGGTAAATGGGTTCCCCCCACCAAGGCCAGAGGTCCAAATCAGTGTCATGATCCTCAAGGATGAACATGGTGAAGCGCTTATACACACCATTTTGCTTCTGCTGCATCAGTGCATCCCGACCAATGAAGTCAGTCCCCTGGAAAGAAAATGAAAGGGCCACTAATGAAGGACATGTGACTTGAACCTGAATCAGCTGCTGAATTTTAAAGGACAGATACTTTTTATCAAAAAGTCGTTCTATGCTTCTGTAGCAAGCAATTCTTTCCCTATCAAAGCAGGTACTTCCCTTTTGCAAAAATAAAACATTAAAAAGGCACAGGTTTCAAACAGTGTTTCATAGACAGCTGGCTCTTTATGGGGTATCACTTCTTCTCGTTTCCTACTGCTAAATTGCATTAAAAGTGGCAAAAAACAGGCACTAACAGTGCACACACTTACAATAATTCCAATGTTAGCAACATTACTGGCTTCAGCCCTCTCCCATATTTTATAAAGTATAAATCAGGGCTTTTTGAGTATGTCCCCTGCTATGCCTTCATTTTGTAAGTGTTGTTTTTGGCACAAGGATGTAATGTTCTCATAAAACAGGAAGACAGATGGTGCACACAATTAAGAATATAAAGAAATGAAATGTCTAGTAACACGTGGCTCCATTCTATGGGTAACACACAAGAGGCGTTATTTTTTGTTTTGTTTTTCAGAGTGAGTACCAATGGCCTTAACTTATTATCTTCTCTTTCAGTCTCCTGCTTTCCCTTAGTTCCTGAAGATCCCCTCATTTGTTTTGTGTTTTCAGAAGGTCTCTCTCTTGTGGTACAGTATCACAAGCAGTTTGCTGAAAGGGAGAAGAACTTCTTCTCTATCTGGAGTTAAAGAAATACTACTTGACACTTTGGAGCAATCTACATGTCAGAGGAATAAGGCATTTCTCAAAAAGGGGGATAGGTTACTAGCATTTCCAGTTCAGAAGTTGTAATGCAGAGGCCCAGCTACTTGCTCCAGTGTCATAAAACCCAGAGGTAGAATTAGGAATAGAAACCAGATCTCTACCCACAATCCTCTGTTCTAGCCACACTAGCAGAAACTGGATGGGGCTTGCTTTATCCTCCACTGCTAGCAAGGGTAAAAGTCTCTCCACTTTTCAGCAAGTTTACTTCCCAGCCATATGATCTGAGTTAGTATATGAGGAAATGTATGCTAGTTTATATCCATCTGACAAGAGACAAGAAGGGATCACATTTCTCAAAAGGCTACTTTCCAAGATGGCTTTCACCCCCACACATACTTAGCTGTAAAAGGAACATCCCCACAAACACCTGTGGAACCTTAACAACAACAACAAAAAAATCAAACAACTCCATACATAATTGTTTAATCATCTATGAAGCAACTGAAGCCCACAGTTTTAGCAGCACAACCAGAACATAATAAAAATTTTAAAGTAAATCAACCCTTTCAGAACCCAAGCTAACAATCCAATCTAAATCCACCTTCTGTCACACACTAATCATTTACAGATAGATCCTGCAATATACAGGCTCTGGCATTCCAAGGGCTTCCCTGTGCAGTTGAACTGATCTCAAATGTTGCTTCCCTCCTCCAAATATAGAACCTGGTGGTTCTTGCATTGATACTGCTCTTACAAAATCCCACAGAAGAATCAAACAACCAAGGAAAAGATAAAGGACCCAAATAAAGGACCCAAGAATTAAATGCACTAAATATATTACAATAAAAAAGGCATCCTCTGTATCACCCATAATTTTGCCCAAGGATCACCATACTGCCTTCAGCCTAAGAGCCCACATCGATACATACAGAAAAATATTTTAGTTAAATGGAAACTGTCCACAGGGTCAAACAAAGACCAGTTCTTATTAAAAGGCCAGATCTGAATTGCAGTTTGGGATTCGAAGGTAAGATATGCAGAGCCATAAACTATGGATCCAAATAACCCTGGTTTTCAGGCTTCAAAATGCAAATTTTCCTAATGTTTTGAGGGACATAGGGCAGGAAAAAGGAGGTCCCTTGTATGGGAATTTTCTAACAACATTATTTTGGTCTGTTTGCTGGAAAATGCAGATTTTGTTGAATTTTGAATGTTTCACTATTGCCTTTGACCAAGTTACAATCAAACACAAGCATGGTAAGAGCAGTAACTCTGCATGTGTTCTTGCCAGCTCATCTTGGGAGCTCTTCCCTGGCTCAGGAGGTGACCTGTGACATAGACTGCTCCAGAACTGGGAGCCCAAGTCTTGCGAGCAACTTGCTGTGGAGACCAGGGGCCTGGAAGCCTCAAGTTGACACAGGGGTCTTAGGATTCTGAGTTCCTAGCCTGCCTGAGGCAGAACAAAGGTTTGGCATCTCATTCCAGTGGAGCAGACTAGGAAGGTGACTTGGGAACTGTGGTGATCTGAGACATCCAGCCATTGTGGTCCTTCCTTCACTTAAGTAAGCCTGCCACCTCTATCATGGAGTAGATGACTCTGCACAGCATGCTAAAAGGGTGGTGGAACTGGTGACCCTGTGCAGTCAACCAATTCTTCTGTGATTATTTTTGGGGGGTGGGGTGCCAATCTATAATTGGAACACTAACAATAAAAAATTGGACTGAATCCTGCAAAATGCTGAGTGCCTTTCATTCCCATTGAGCCTTTATCTGCGTGGGAGCAGCAAAGAACAGGTTATGTACCAAATATGCTGACAGTGCCACACTGGCTGGGATGTATAGTTTTTGTACTAATTTCTAGCACTTTCAAGACCCAACAGAATCAACCATTAAAAAAGTTAAAAATATTTTCACACACTACCTTCCCCACTTCTCTATGAAAATATCTATATTGGGGATTTATCCCATTAAAAAGTTTTTCCTCTCATTCTAGTATTGCTTTGTCTTCTCTGCTGCAATACTATATTCCCTTCCTATTCTCAAATGGAAATGCTGCTGAGGGAACTGGTTCCAGTTTCATACGGTACCTTCTCCAGTTTGACACGGAATTCTCGCCCGCATTCCATGGGAGTCGTGAAGGTGTCCAGATCCTGGCCCCAGAATGCAAAGAACTTTTCGATGCGTAAGCTGCGGAGTGCGTAATAGCCAGCATTCCTGATGCCATATTTCTGTCCCACGCTCATCACCTCATTGTACACATGCAGCGCATACTACAGGAAAGAGTTGGCAAATTCAGAATTACCATTAGACATAACATTAGAGAAAAATGTGACACTCTACTGCACTACCAGGGAAACTTCCATATGCTGGCTTTTAGGGCTCTGGTTTGGAGAAAGTACAAAACCCATACAACATACCTGGCCAAAGATGCAGTGCTAGACAAAGTAAGGAAACTTCACATCACCTGTAACATTATGCAATGAAGCAAGTGATTTCATTACCTTGCCTGAGGTAACACTACTACAAATAAGTGTATAATTATGCCGCCCTCTTTAAAATCCACCCAGAATCTGGGACAATCTTCCGCATCAGTGACTGCTACAGACTAACTACAGACTGTAGGAAATAACATTTCCTTTTGTTTGCTCTTAAATAATGTTCCAGCTTCCATAATCTCTGACTGTATCTGATTTAGTTTCCCAGCACCACTTTCTCCAGTCCCACAATTTCATAAGGCCAAGACTTGACAGGGTGAATGACTCCACAGAAATATCTGATCTTATACATGCATTGTAAACATTAGAACAGTAGGATTTGTACCCCAAGACTAAAAAAAAGTATTATTCAGCAATTCTCTTTTCCCCACATAATTCAGTATCAACTCTAACAAGCAAACTCAGGCAGCACTAATTTCACTTTTAGAGTTAAAAGCTCCCACCAAAACCACCTGTATATTTTGCATCACAGAGTACTACCTTAGCAAATTAACTGTAGCCACCACAAGTAGGAAACCAGTCTTTTCACTGACAGCTGGTTAAGGTGGAAGCTTTTCAAATTAAAGCCTCATGAATTGCTCTGAATGGTTAAGCTTAGAACTACTCTCACCTCTATAGGGATGTATAACATGAATCCAGGTTCCCCTGTGTGCGTCATGCTCATCACACGGATACCATTAGCATACCCCACACTCATCTCCTGCAGAAATTGAAAGGCAGGAGAAATATGTTCATACCATAGCATGGCACCAAAGAATCACAAATAAGACTATAAACAACAGCCCATTGGCTAAACCTTTTCTCCTTCCCCACCTCAAAAGCAGAATTTAAGTTCAAATAAGTTTTGGATCAGCTCTCATAAGGACAGCCCTGACTCCTCAGATGCCAAAAAAGGGAAAATGCACTCAGGGAAATTCTAGATTTTCACACACTAGCAATTCACTAGCAATATGAAAAGGCAGCCTATCATCATGTCATATCAATCACGAGTACAAGGTAAACTGTGGACATCCCCATAATTTTAGGATCTTCCCAATGGGACATAATGGATTGCGGGGCAGAAGAATAATTCCATTCTGTGATTATAAGAGACCAGGTCTAGTGTTGTTTAGAAGTGGCAGAAGTGATGCTGGATTCTCTCAGTTAACATTATGTGTACATGTATGTTGGAGGCAGGGAGGAGAAAACAAAAAGTGGCATCCACACAAAATAAACCCAAGAGCACAGATACACAGCAAAATATTCAGGAGACATTCCAATTTACCCATCTGCACACTAGACATGTATGGCTTATGACTAGTTTCTTGCACAGGGTCAGAGACTGACATGAACACACTGCTGTAAGGAAAGGAAAATAAACTCCTGAACTGGCTAATGGACTCTCAGTAGAAGAGACCCCGTATCATTTATTCTTTAAGAATTATGATGTGGGCAGAGAAACTGGTCATTCAGAAGGCTGAAAGCCAAGAGTTTATTTAAAAAAAATAAGATAAATCTATGGTTCAACTGCTGGAACCTTTCTAATGATGAAACAACATACTGACTACTGACAAGCAGTCTTTGCCTTACTTTTTAGGCATTTCTGCAAGGGTCTCAAAAATTACAGTGCCACTTTTATATTTTGGTTGAGAAACATCTCGCGTTTTCACTAATCACTTTTTTTTTCTCCCATACTATGAAGTTTATTTTCCATTAGGTTGTGCACTTGTTTATGATTCAGGTTTACTGCTTGACCAAAAATAGTTCGCTAAAAGTTTCTGGGATTATTAAAGACTGAAACCCTAATTAAATGGACTGTATTTTAACCTCTATCTCAGGAATACCTGAAAGTGCAAGTGTATGGAAGGTGTTTTAGACTTACAAATCCAAGAATAATGATACATTATTTGGTGTAGCCAAGGCATTCAGAAATTATTCAAGTTTACTAAAAGCCATGAAGTTTGAGCAAAAAGGTCAAATATAATTTTGAAGAGGCTTACCAGTTACGTTTTCATAAAAAAGGAGAAAGACAGTGACTCTATAGAAAATGATACCAGCTGCCACTAGTGACTGCCAATTTCACACTCTGTTACCACAAAACACACAGAAATACCAAATAGAACTTTAGGTACTGAACAATGCATTTCAAGTAAGTATTGCTGTAATTCAGTATGGTGATTTAAAGGGAGGAAACTAAAGAAGAGTAAAGCAAGTATTGCTATCTACCTAGTTCAGTTATGTCAGTAAATATATGTTTATAGCCTGACCCGACCTGTAAACACCAAGTAACCCACCTTGCAAAAGAGAGAGGGGAAGTGTTCTGGAGTCATTGGGACATAGGATAATTCAGACAGGACATCCACAGCCCGAGGGCCAATGAGATTGAGAGCTGGATGGAAAAAAGAAGAGGTTTTCTATTACTAAGTCCAATGACACAGAAAGGGTTCACCAGCCTCGTCCTTATCTTTTTCCAGTCTCTATGATTTTATCTATATTATAAAGTTATTATACATATTATGCAATAGTTACATGGCTTACAGAGAATTCAGAAATGGGAAAAGCTCAAGCAAGCTCAACTAGATTTTCCTTGAGAAGTGCACATGGAAATGGAAGTGACTGTCTATGCACATATACATTGGAAGCAACTGTTCAAGCATACATAGTACTTGGTTGTATGTACCACTCAGGAGAGAGACCAGGCATCACACAGTGAGCAACTCAGATTAAAAGGATTGGTGTAGTGGTGGTCAAGAGTCATGCGATTTTCTATGGTATAAGCAACTCTGCTTCCAGAGATCTCTTACCAGTGTACTTCCAGGTTACATCCTCCAGCAACAGATTACTGTCACTGGGCATGTGCTTCTTCAGCCATGTCCAGCAATGTACTTGCTGGTCAGTAGGGGAAATCATGAAAAAGCTAGAATAAAAAAAAATTAATTTAGAGCAAGAAGCAATGCACAGACAGCCACAAGATAAATTTATTTTGTACTGTTTCTGGGATACAGCATTAAAACCCACTTCCCTGAACTATGGCACCAAACAACAATCACTCAAGGAAACAGAGGACAGAGATATGCTATAACCATCTCCAAAACCTCTGGGGCAATGCTCATCTGTTGCGGTCAGAAAATCTACCTTGTAGCATTAGCAACAGGCTAGTAAGTTAAGTAGAAGCACAAGAACCAGATTGGAGGCAATGCCAAAGAATATAAGGTAGCTCATGTTCTATCCCCAATATAATTTCTTTTTTCAAAGAAAAAGTACCCTCTTCTCCAAGGAAAGAGAATCCTCCTTGATACAGTATAACTACCTCTATTTGAATCTCTAAAGACCTAATAACTTTAGAATACAGTTGATATGACAGAACAAAAATAAAGTACTTTAGTGACCTAAATAGCAGAGCTGCAGAAACAAATAAAAATGTGAGAACCTAGGAAGCTTACATAAGGGGAAGGATTTAAAAAAAAAAAATAATAAAAATAAAAAAAATCACCTGATAGATGAGAAGAGCTGGAATGTTAAGATATAAAGAACTGGCAAAAGCTGCAAGAGGAAAAGGTCTCATACTAACAGCAGTGAGCTTGAGAGAAGGGACATAGAAAAGGCTGATGGGAATGAAAAAATATAAACAAAAATCCAGAGTATTTAAATAATGACTGAAGTTTCGGATTATATACTGGAATGAGAATAAGAAACAACGGGAGCTTATGATCAAGCTAATTTGCGTGTCTGTCCATGTGTATTTTTTTCAAAGACATAAATATATATGCACACGTGCATACACAGGGAAATAAGAGGGGAAGAGGGAGGTGGGAAGTACACAGATTGGCACATGCTGGGAAACTGAGAATTGGAAAAGCCATGCTGGACCTAATCAAGCAGAAAGGTAATGAGGGTTTCAGCAGTCATACGATCCAATTTGCCTAAGATTCAATGTGTGCGCATTCTGTTTGTATTTTAAATGATTAGGTAACCTACTAACATGAACTTCTATTAATTACTTAACACAATTTATTTTGCCTTTGAGAAACTATACATTTCAGGGCTAAACAGACTGGTTTTGTTTTTAGAACATAAGCTTATCACTGCAGTACTAGAGAAAGGCTGCTTTCCCCAACATTGGAGGTCTTCAACTACTGAATTAGGAAACTGAGACTGTTGAGATTATGTGCACATGTGAGTGACGGGGCAAGGTGAGAAGCTTTTATGGCAAAGTAATATTAAAAAAAAAAGAAGAAACTGATTTATCTGCAATAAAAAGCACTAAGGAAACCGAGTTAAGGCCAGGACAAAAGATGGGTGGCTGATAAATGAAAATACCACTGCGCAGACTTACCTGCGTTTGTTTAAGCGTACAATGCTGCAGTCGTTCTCATAACCTCCTTTCTCATTTAGCATGCCCGTGTGCACAATATGTCCAACTGGAACATCCAGGTCATTCGAGAAAAGGTACTGAAGAACCTCCAGCGCCTGACCCCCTGTGGACTGCAGGGATTGACATGAGAAGACAATCAGATGAGCTATCTGAGGATGGAGCTCTGGCAGAGCAGTGCAAAATTGCTGCAGTGGTTCTAGACAGCATCATGATTCATCCCACCAAAAGCCTGTCCATTCATAATGATGATTACTACACAGATGTCTAGGGCTTCCAGAAACACATCACCATAGTATCCAAGAGCTTTCAGAAAGTTAAATTTGCTAAATTCTAGCCCATCAGTCAGGGATCCTGGTTTTCTCCGTTTAAAAACCCCAAATTCTCCAATTAAAACCCCCATAATCCACATTTTTCCATGATTAAAATGAAATGCCATTATGTGTCTAGGTATCAGTTGAACACAATGTTTTACTGCTTTAAAATTGTAAATACATCCAGTTTAGAAGCCTACCAGTGCTTCAATCTTTATAATAAAATAAATTCTAAATACCTATATATTTTGGTGTTTGATTTTGTTTGTTTTATGGAAAAGTCAGAGCTCTCTGTCACTCTGAATGAAGATTCAGCTCTCTGAATGAAGATTCACCAGGATGCAGGTTCAGCTGCAGCTGTGCCCTCCACTGCCTTATGACACTGAGCAGCCCTGATATGCCAGTGCCCTGCCCATGCTGGTGCCTCTCACTCCCAGCCCACAACTCCCTGGCCCTGCCAGTGCCCTTCACTCCCAGCCCATAGTCACATACCACCCCCAGTGTATGAGGAAAGGAGTGGGTGTGAGGAAAGGCAACATGTTAGGGGGGCACATGCCCTCCCTCAAGATTTCTACACTCACAGCAGGGTACAGGGCTACAGCCAGGCTGGATCAGATCTAGGCAGGAGCTGCCTCTGTAACCCAGCAGGCAGGACACAGCATGGGAGGTAGCTGTGCTCCCCCCCCCAGCTGGTTCCTCCTGAATTGGTCCTGTCTGCTGGGCTGTGGAGGTGGATCCTGCTCAGAGCTGGTCTGGCCAGGCTGCAGCTCCACACCCTGCTATGGGTGCAGAAATCTGGGGGCACATGCCCTCCCTGCTTCCCCCCCCCAACCTGTACCACGCTCCCCAGCTTCACTTTCCCCCACTGTATTGCCTGTGCCTCCCTGCCCCCCACACATTGCCTGTGGCCACTCCCCCCGCAAAGACTTACCTGGAAGGAACTGTGGGAGTTCTCCACCTCACTGCCTGGCTGCCATGTGCATATGTGCACACGCACACAGTGCCCCCTGCATCCCACTACAGCCAGCCCCAAGCATCCCTTTGCCAACTGGAACTCAGCCAGCTTGCAAGGGGAAACCTGCAGTTTCCTGGGTTTTTCTCCTTTAAGGGAGAAAAATCCACACTTTTCCATGACAAAGGGAAAACCCAGATCCCTGATCATCACCAATGCTATAAATTAAACCAGGGTTTTTCATAGATACTAGAGTCAGAACGGACCTCAAAGGATCATTGAGTCCTACTCCCAAAATTGCAGGGTTTGGTAATATTCTGCTGCCATGGGCCAGATCTTGCTGCTCAGCTCCCCACCTTGGGCTATAAATCTGTCCCATGGATTGCTCAAAATGCCTGTACTTCTCTTGCTACACATATCTGGCCCCCATGCAGTGAGGGTAAGCACAAAGATAGAAAGCAACAGGGCAGGCTTCTGAGGAGGGTGCTGCAGAAATAATGGGTGGCTTGGTACAGCTGCATCCTGCCTGATCGTCTGTGCCACCCTAGGCCAAGCTGGGTCTTCCTGTGGTGAATGCAACCTCTTCCTGGGCTGGATACAGCATGGGGGCCATTGGTTGCCAATTAAACCACAAAAAGAACAATACAGGCAGTCCTCGACTTACGACTGAGTTACAACGAACGGCATTTACGACACTTGTAAATTGATACTGGTTCAAGGTTCTGATAGGGGTTTCACCTTTAAGACACTTGACAGAGCTGTGTCCAGCTGGGGGAGGAAAGGGGAGAGGAGGGAAGGGGCATGGAGGTGAAGATCAATGCCCCGCAGTGAGGGAGGGACTGCGGCTGAAGCTGGGAGTCTCCTGTGGCTGCAAGGTGCCAGTCCATGGAGGGGTGGGGGAGGGAGCATACCCCAGATCTGTGCGGGGCGGGCGGGGCTGGGGCTGCACTCTAGGCAGAAGGCGCTGGGAGTGGGGACTCTGCCTTCCTTCTTCTTGCCCAGCCAGGGTGGGACATAGGACGCAGGCGCAGCTTGCTCCGGATGGGTACAGCGGCCCTGGAAGCGGGGGCTATGCCCTGCCACCACTTGCCCAGCCAGGGCAGGAGGGCTTGGGGCGGAGGTGCTGCGTTGCCTCGGACAAGTGGTGCATAGCTGGGGGAGCCACCCTGGCCTCTCTGCGGCTCCTGGACGAGCTGTGGTTTCACCTCGCCCCACCCTGGCGTGTGCCCCAGATTTTCACATTGTGGCTGGGGCCAGGGCTGCGCCAGGCTATGCTCCGGACAGGTGGCAGGGGCTATGGGGAATTTTAGGGTGGCTGCAACCTCCCCATAGCCCCTGTCTCCACCACCCTCCCCATATAGGCGGGGTGAAGCCATGGCTTGTCCAGGAGAAATGGGGAGGCTGGAGCGGCTCCTGTCACTGCATGTCCGAAGCAGTGCAGGGCCTCTGCTCTGTGCCCCCCAACCCCAGCTAGTCAATATATTACCCAGTGGCAACGGTCAGTCCACGGAGGATCTGAAAGTGACATTGCATGTTACATTCAGACCATACTAAGTCTATGGAATATTAAGTAATGTTAGAGTCAAAAAGTGCTATGAGTAGTTGTGTGTTGAGGTTTAATACCATTTCTTGCCTTGCTACTAAAGGGCTGGCAAGCAGGGGGTGGTTGGGAGCCAGGATACCTGTGTTCTATGTGTGTTCTGGATAA